TAACTTTAAGGGTGAATAAAAATAAAAGAATATAAGATAATCCAAAATTTATATTGTATCCTAGAAGTTTAGATTTGTTTTATTTTATTTGATTTTATTTAATATTTTCTTATAACATTAGATGGGTTTTAGGCATGTAAACAAAAAATAATATTTGTTTCAATTAAGAATGTGGTTACACATCTTTTTTGAAACACTTAAAAGAAATTCAAGGATGTGGTGACACACCTTGATAAAATTATTCTAATATATATTTTAACATGTGGATTAATTTAATTAAAAGTATCATCAATAAATATAATAATGAAATGAGAAGATTAGTTGTCTAGAATTCAGAAAAGTAAAAGTAAGTACTTTTAATACTAGATGAGTTTTATGAACGTTAAAAATATCTGTAAAAAAAATTAAGAATGCGGTTGCGCATCTTTTTTGAGACATTGAAAAAAACTCAAGGCTGCGGTGACGCACCTTGTCCAAAAATATAATAACTTTCATTAATTTAAAATAAGATCACTTATAGATAAAATTAGGTGATGCACTCGAGAGAAGAAAACAATTATGTTCATAAGCTATTTATATGTCAAAAGTCGAGAATGCAGTTATGCATCCGATTTGAGACCAAATAAAAGTTCAACAATAAAAATGCAAACAAGTCATGACTTGAAAATAATATATCTACAAATGATTTAAAGTAGGTAGAAGTCAATAAAAGCGACCGTGCTAGAACCACGAGACTCGAGGGATGCCTAATACCTTCCCCTCGGTCAACAGAATTCCTTACCCGAACTTCTAGTTCGCAGACCATATAAAGAGTCATTTCCTTTTGATTAGGGATTAAACAAAAGGTGACTTGGAACAACATAACTCAATTCCAAGTGGCGACTCTGAAACGAAAATAAAATATAATCCCTTAATCAATACCGTCACTTAAATTGGAAAAACCCTATCTACCCGCCGCCGTGCGCGAAAAGGGGTGTGACAAGTACATTTAATATTTTTTAGATAAAACACTACTTATTATATAATGAACATCATTTACCACTTGAAGTCTGCACATTCATTTCATTTCAAAACATATTCAAGTAATTTGGTTTGTCCTTTGAAAATGAATTTCAATCTTGGAGATTGTTCTAATAAGGGAAAAGGGCCTGATATACCCCTCAACTTTGTCATTTGGAGTTGATATGCTCCTCATTATGAAAGTGACTCATATATACCCTTACTGTTATACAAAACGGCTCAAATATACCCCTACCGTTACAAAATGAGCTTACATATACCACTCATTTAACGAAAGTGAAAAAATTAGTTTTAAATTTATATGTTATACTTTTAATTTTCTTAAAAATTATTTAGGGGTATATATGATTCTTCTAACAAAGTTAAAGGTATATTTTAATCTTTTTCATGCATAAATTATTTTTTTACTTCTTTGATTATAATTATTTGAGTTTCTTATTCTTATTTTATTTTTTTCTTTCATTCCTTTCGTTAGGGTAAAGAAAAAATTTAAAACTATTTTTTTGTGGCTATATTATAATTTAAAACTATATTTTTTGGTCTATATTGTAATTTAATTTTTGTATTTGAAGAAAAAAATTTGGTAATCTATAATAAGTTTTACAAGAATAATAGTGAAACATAAATAAATTTGACCATCAAAATAATAAATCTAAATTAGTCATTGAAACAAAAAAAAAGTCAAAAAAAATATGTTTGAGGAGGATTAAATATACTATATGGGATTATAATTTTTTTAAAAAAATTAAAAATTAAAAATTAAACTAATTTTTTTTTTCATTTCCGTTAGAGGAAAAGGGTATATGTGAACCATTTATATATAAGTAGGGGTATGTATGAGTCACTTTCATAACGACTTTCATAACGAAGGGTATATCAGCTCTAAATGACAAAGTTGAGGGGTATATCAGACCCTTTTCCCTTCTAATAATAATGATGAAGATTTTTCTTCTTCGTTAGATTTGAAATTTTTTCCTAGTACAGAACATCATGATAATTTAATAAATCAGTTACGTATGAACAACTACATGTTCCAACAAGTTCTACAAAATCATACTAATGAAGTTTTCATAGGTGGCTCCATTCCAGTCATGTGGTAATCAACGTGATCGTGAGGCGGCTGATGATATTTCGCCGTCGTTATCAAATGTCCCGCAATTTGTTTCTTCGTATCGTTGATGCAATTAAAGATCACGACACGTACTTCAAACAACGCATTGATGCGCTGGGTAGATTTGGATTATCTACTTTGCAAAAAATTACCGTTGTGTTTAGAATGTTGGCATTAAAGATCATGACATGTACTACATGATATAATGACTACATGTATTATATTGCACAACATGATAATTGAGGATGAACGTGATCTCAATGCACCAATTCAAGATGCCGTAGAGGCTCCAACTCCAACTATAGAAATGGTGGTAGATGAAAATCTCCGGTTTGAACAATTTTAAGCTAGACATAAAAAAAAATTAAGGACAAAAAATTCTCATTTTGATCTCTGTAATGCATTAATAGAGCATTTATGGGAGTAACGTAATAATTTTGAAAATTGAGTGTTTATGTAATTGTATGTCACTTTTATTTGAATTTGTCCCCTAATTTTATGTATTATATTATATTTTCTTGCAATTTATGTTATTTAAAAATTTAGAATAAAATAATTTCATATCACATTAAAAATTATATAAAGTAATTATTTGAGAAAAAAGAAATAAATGATTTATATTATGAAATAAGAAAATAAGAATGAAATAGAAATAATAATATAATATTAAGGAGAGAGAAAAAGATTCATTTTTAGAGAGTAAAATAAAGAATTGGGTTGGAGTTGGTTGTCTGAAAAAATACAGAATTCTATATTTGGAGAGTAAAATAGAGGATTGGGTTGGAGATGCCCTTAGCTTGTTAAACCTTCTCTCCTTCACCTGGAAAGTTATCCGGTAAGCAAGATTTTTGATTGATGTGCCTGAATAAGGTTGATCCATGGTAGTTGCCCGAAGTGCAGGGGTAAACTCGGATAGGATAGGATTGTGTGTGTTGGGCCCTTTGCGTCTCAAATTTTGGCCGAATTTATCGTATCTCCATTTCCTATGTTAGGTGGTCGTAATATATGTAGTAATTAGGTCAGGGTATATTTATTTTTTTCGGATTTTATTTTATAAGTTTACACCAAAAATGTTGTTACTTTGGGTCAATCATCTCCTTATTGTAAAAATATTTATATTTCTTGCCAATAACTTTTGACATTTTGATTAAAAAGACGTATCAACACTTTTGCCTAGTACCTTATTTTATTCCACAACTGAACAAGCCGTTACTTTATAAAATTAATTTCAACACCTCATTTTATTTTGTTTTTGAATCATTGTAGGTGCTTTTATCTTTCTTGATTATGACAACCATCCACATACATGATGCCACGTGTCTTCACTAAGAAAGGAGGATGCTTTTCTATGTTTTGGGCTTTGGTGGTTGGTTGGTCCCTCATATTCAAAGAAAGGTCTGAAAATAATTACAGGGCTGAAATGACATGTGCCTGGCCTATTTTGGGCCATGAAAACTAGCAATAGGCCTATTTGAGAAAAACAAAAAAGGGAAGCAAGAGTGTAATAAAAGGTAAAAAGTGAAAACAATTTCATTACATTAGGGATCAAAACAAGATGAGAAATTGCAAAGATGACATGATATGGCAAAACAAAAGCCACTCTGGAATACACAAGTCATGTGAGGTGAGGGGTCATGAGATGACAATGAAACAAGAAAATTGAATTTGTGATATATATTTGAATTTCTGGCTAAGTAATCATAAATTTGCACTACAATCACATGTGTAGTTGATGTATAACTTCAATACTATCTTCTATCACAATTCATGATATACTATTGTATGTTTAAACGCAGGCTTAAAAAGCATGAGCTCTTCTCACAACAACATATAACGTTCACTAAAGCAATTTGAGTATATCAAAAGTGTAGTTAGCCATATCATGGGCTATGGTATGCATTTTATTTGAATTCACTTTTACTAAAAATGTCTGATATATATTCTAGGAGAGTGACAAATACTGTATATACTTTCTTTATCCCTCTTTATTTGTTCTATTTTGACTTTTTACTTATCATTTTTGACAAATTAAGAAATATAATATTTTTTACCTATTCTATCCTCAATTTATTTAGAAAGTTAATGTTTTTTAAAAAGGTAGAACCTCTTTAATAAATAAATTGATTATATTATATCACCCTTTGAATATAATAAATACATGTCTTAAAAATGTGATAGAGAAATAACTATAAATAATGATAAGCGTAAATTAGAAACTAAGTGTAAAATTATTCATTAATTTTATAAGGTGGACAAGTATGTTGGATATTCCAAAATAATATAGTGGATAACTATTGTTGGACGGGGACATAGGGTGGAGTACCAAACACCCATGCCAGTCAACTCAATTTACTTAGGGTCGTTCACTCGTTTGGTTGGGAACAAGTTATCACATGATTAGTTATCCTGGGTTAGCTATCCTGGGATAACTTATCCCATCACTATGATATAAATGGTGGGATAACTTATCCCAAACATGACAACCAAACAACATACAACAATTTTATCCCATTACTATTTTTTTTATCCCTCACACCAAACGACGTCTAAGTGACCAACGTTTTGTTTAATTTGGAGATTCTAGAAAAGTGAAAGTTTGAGTTCAAAGTTCAAAGTTCAAAGTCATGCATATTTCTTCTTTAATAGATTAATTATTTTAATAAAATCTATACATGATAATTTGCCATGTTTTCAACCTCTAGAAAAAAGAATTCCTCCTAATTTTCATGAATCTTCTAAGTTGTTGTATTGAAATATTCTGAGGACCAAATTGCAAGAACTAACAAATTACAAGGACCAACGTGGCTCTCAAGTCAACAAGATCCTCTCTCTCTATACTCAAATTCCCTGAAAAACCCTAGCCGATAACACTCCAAAATAAATTACTAACGAACAACTTCATCATCATCTTTTTTGGTAAATCATAAAGCTTATAGACATTGCTACAATGGCTGGAAGATTCAGAGAGCTATTGAAGAAATACGGAAAGGTAGCATTGGGTGTTCACTTCTCTGTTTCAGCAGCTTCAATTACAGGTCTTTATGTTGCTGTCAAGAACAATGTAGACGTTGAAGCCATGTTCGAAAAAATCGGCATGCCAGGCTTATCCAAAGAAAAAGTTGATGAAATTCCTAATTTACCCCAGCAAAACCCACAAGTGATTTCCTCTGATGGGTTCGTTATTGAAGAACCCTTTAATCAGGACGGTGTGGCGCCGCCAAAACAGAGGAATCGTACTGCTGAGCTGGCGGCGTCAAGTGGAGGTGCTCTTGCTGTAGCTGTGCTGCTTAATAAGGCTCTGTTTCCTGTTAGGGTTCCGATAACCCTTGGTCTTACGCCGCCGATCGCTAGGTTTCTTGCAAGGCGGAGAATTATAAACAACAGTGTATGATGAATATATATTTTTTCTTTATGTTTCTTCTAAACGATTTTTTGTTTTTTTCTGAATAATTTGAATCTCTCTGCATTACTATAGTTTGATTTCCCTTACACTGTCACGAGTTAGTAAAAGGGGTGATCAATTAACAAGTTAGAGGGTACCTGGGAGATTTACCAGTCTTAAAAATTTGATCTTTGGAGATGTATTTGAATGGAGAAATAGTTATAGATATATGCAACTGAAAGTTGTGTACTATGCTGAATTTCAATTGAAGTAATCATGTTTTGCTGTTGCTGCATAGAAACAAATCTTAGCCTAGCATAATAATGCTGTTTGTGGCAGCCATTTAATGAATATTGCTACAGAAATCTGAATTTGATGCCTTGTATTTTATATCTTGTGTTATGCACAAAGCATCCTGCATTAGCAAGGTCTGGGGAAGAGCCACTCCCAGGGTGTGTGATGTAGAAAACCTATCCTAATGCAATAATTTGTGGCTGCTGAACCCATGATCTATAGGTAATACGGCCAATATTACTGTTACTCCTCTCAATGGCTAAGATATCAAGCTTTGACAAAAATTGTCTAGTGTACTCATTTTGTTCAACTTGTATGTGGCAACACTTGAAGATCCCTTCCTGCTGTTGGATAATTTTTCTTATTGGGGTAGCCACTGCTGAGTGGGAATGATGATAAGCTAGTAGCACGACGAGTTCTTGTTGCAGGTGAGTGCAGTGATCTAAACTTTGGGCAAGAAAGGAGGTGAAGGGAACTTTAGACCCCCCAAGGGTTTATAAGTTTTGATGAAGGTTGTGGAATTACTATAGTGGTTTGTGTAAAAGAACTTGAACTTCTAAACTCAGCCCCTCCATTTGAACTTGTAGTGGCCCGATTCAACTTTGAACTGAACCATTTGGTTGCCGTTACTGCACTCTTTATTTGAAGCAGTCATTATAACTTTTTGACGTATATTAGAGAGGAACAGAACTTTTCTTAGATCGTCTCCTTCATGGTTTGTTATTTACTCTCGATTCAGATGTAAAGCTAGCTTGGTCAAGCAATTGTGTTACAAATTTCAGAAGCACGGAAATAAGGCAGTGTTGTAAAACTTGGCATCAAGAATGTTTCATTTTGGCCTACGGTAAATGTGAACCATCCTATACTCTGTCATGCATTTAAGAACATTGGATCTACAGGAAGCTGATAGGTTTATGTATTGTACCCACAACAAAATCGGAATTCCACAGTAACTAACAACAGCCAGCTAGCTCTGTTGCTGGCAAACAACAACGAAATGCATTGTCATTCCTTTGCATATTATAAATAAGCTTTTGTTTTACAACCGAATCATAGAAATGGAATTTAAAAGATTAAGCATTTGTTAAGTTGAAGATGGGGAGAGCCAAAGCCTAAAGAATGAATAATCTGGACTGATTTTATTCAGTATCACGCAAAGTAACAGTTTCAAGAATTACAAGGCATCCCAAACCCAACAAGATACAAATACCTCTAATACCAAAAGCAAAGAATAACACAAACCACCTTTGTGCTAAGTATGATTCATGTTATTTCCATCTCTTTTCCCCCATCAACCGCAATAAATGGCAATAAGCTTGAAATTTGACGTACAAAGTTCAGTGGCCTGAACTATATTCTTCAAAGATGAATGGAAATTCACGAGCATAAGAAAATCCTTGCTAGCCATCCAATTCTTCATGCCTTGCAAAACCAGCGTAGCAGTCTACCACCCGAAATCAGAATTGAAGATTTAATGAACTACTGACAAGTACAATTAGCTCGTAAAAGAATATCATTTTCTAAGAATCAAAATGTTTTTACAGAATTCTCCAAACAGAGAATTTGAGTTAAACTAACTCCTCCACCAATCATTCAGGAAAAACACACAAAAGTTTTACTAGTAAACTGCCTCCCCAAAATTTGGAGGGGACTACAACAACATGAAAGTCAAAAAGGCAAGGACAAACAAGTAGCCAAGTCCAAACACAACCTACTCATTCCTAATCACCTGTGTTAGTTAAGGAAATGTTACAGTATAGCAGTACTCCCTGCATTCCGTCCTATGCAAAAAAAATGACATTGCCCAGCTATCAGCCATGGTAACTAACAAATCATATCCCAAACAAAAATACACCACACAAGAAATCATCAAATGCCTTTTGACATTCGGAAATGTTTAAAAGGCTGACCTTGGCTGGATTGAACAATGATATACACCAAATGCTTCAAAATCTCTGCTACAATTGGTGGAGATGCTGGAACTCTTCACACTCCACTCCTATTTCTTTCAGAGCCAAGAAAAGTTTTGGTACAATCTTAGCCAGCATTAGCTTGAAACCAACTGAATTTGAATTAGCGCTGCTGTTATTGCTTACGGAAGCATCTTTTATGAGCGAGCCAATAAGGAATCCTTTCATGTAAGCGTCACAGGCCTTGAGGATGTAATAACCACGCATCCTAAAGTGTTCTCTGATAAGCTCTTCAAAATCCTATTTCAATCCAATATTTTGGAACAAGTTAACAAGAATTGCTTTACCAGTAAAGCATAGTGCCAAAGGTGATGAATACCAAACAAGTTTACAAAAACAAACAAGAGGAGCAATAAACAACAAATGCTCCCCATCCTTTATACCTAGTATTCAATTAAGAAAAAGTGGGTTCCATGACCTATTTTTCCTCTGTGCAGATATAGATATGATTCTCTCACTAAAAAGGTGAAATGAGCAGTGAGCCAATGGATAAACACAAAGAAGAAACAAAAGAGATGTAACAACAACATACCCAGGGTAATCCCACAAATGTTAGAAAAATGGATTAGACATTATCTAAAATATTTTATTTATACTTTAACTATTTAGAGTTTGGTGGTAGTCCATAAATGAGAGCCTATGGTTAGAGGATCATGCACGTTTGTGCTTGGTGGGTTTAGTGAGGTGGTGAATGTAGGCTAAACATGATGAAGGGATATGGAAAGAAAGTTGTCCATTGAGGCTGACATCTTGAGGAGGGGATACACAGGAGAGGAAGACCTAATGCTACATCAATTTGATATGGCTCAAAAGGCACCCTTCTTTCTTATTTATCTTTACATATTTGGCATCTTATTATTATGTCCGATCTAGAAATTTGTTGTGTTGAGTTGCTGACAGTAAAGACATCAATTGCCTGCTTCATAAGTATTAAGAAGGAAACTGGCGGATCAGAAGCCTATACCATTATTTGATGGATTTAATATTACTAATCTAACTAACTACTATCAGCACTGTTGTAGTTTTATCCAGTAAACGTAACTACACATGTTTAAACAAGGCCAAGAGACCACATATGACATCATGATATATCAATTAAGTCAATTGGCATTATGGAAGTAATCAGCTAAAATTGAGAAAGAAAAGAAAAGGCAATTACAAAGAATATTTTGAGTTAGAGGTCCACATTTTCATTTTTCCACCTAAGTCAGTGATACACTATACAGCAATTCTTTGCAACGGATTAGATAACATAGAAATGCCAAGTAGAAAGCAAAACAAGCTGATCCAAGAAACACTAACTTCAACTGAGCTCATGAACGAATGGATGGCAAGTAAAGTTGGTCCATCGGAAATATAATAAAATGAGAAGATATGCCAAGCCTGAAGAGTCATGGATTACAGTTCTTGTATGGGGAGAAAGAAAGAGAAAAGGATAACCCCATAATAATTGGATTCAAACACCTTGAAAACAAAGATGAAATCCAAAATGTAATATTATCAAGGATGTTGACACATGTTGTAAGAGATGGAAAATAAAGAAAATAAAGATATCAATTACCTTAGGAGGCTTCCTCATCAGATACATCATTGTCTTGCAGTTCAATAAGAAGGTATTTTCGTTGTATGATAGTGAATTTTTTTCTCCTTCAGCTGTCCCAACTTGCTTGTCATAACCAGCTTCATTGAAATATGGCCTGGAATTCAAGACTAGCCCTTGAAGTGAAACTAGGACTTGAAGTATACTCGAGGATGAAGGATCCCAGACCTCATTCCCTCTGCCCGTCCAAGTATTTAAAAGGCTGAGACAAACCTTCCCTTCCTCATACAAGTTTGGATTTATCCGCCAACCACCAGAATGATAATATGCTGACTGCAATACAACATAAACATTTGAAAAATTAACTTTAAAATGAAGTTATGAGCCAAAAGGAGATTACAGGCAAACAGTAACCCTCTAGACAAGAGGAGAAGGATACAAGGAAAGAAACATTGAGTAAGCTTACTGGCGGAACATCAGGATACTCAAGTGGAAGGTGGAAATCAAAGAAGAATAAGCCATCTTGGTAAGGAGTCCCATATGCTCCAACAATCACAGCCCTTAGAAGATCCATGTGATCTTCATAAACACGTACATATATTCCATCTGATAAAAGAAGTCTGAAGGTTAAAGCTGATGATTTGATAGCCGACCCCAACTAGTTTGAGATTGTGGTGTAGTTAAAGTTGATGGTGTCACTTGAATGTGAAAATAACAATTATAAAATATGGAGAGATAAATCCTATGATGATATACCTACTTATGAAGAGAATAATAACAATTATAAAATATGGAGAGATTAAATCCTATGATAATATACCTACTTATGAAGAAAAAAAATCTGATAAATACCTGGCAGGTTATTCTGAAGGATGTTCCAATCTTGTTGAACTTTCTTAAGCCACTTCCTCCCAGCATTATTCTGCACATAATGATCAACAAGTTTCAGTAGATGACCCCTTTGAAATGGGATTGAACTAGTCCTTGTCAGGGACTCAAAGTAAAGGACGCTCACCAGTTACTCATAACTAGCTCACCTTTAGAAACCATGATATGAAGTAACTTGACATCATGCAACACCACACTGCCCTCTCAAACCCCACCCCCAGAACCAAATAGTAAAAGGTGCATGTCTAATAAAACATACTCGAGAAATGGAGAAAAAGTAGTGTAACACAAGTCATGAACCACCTTGTAAATGGAAAAGAGTGATGGATCAAGGATTCATTTAGAAATTCTAAGTAAGGGAAAGAAGTACTGTCGAGAACCAGAATATAGAATACATTTTCTAATACATTAGTCAAGAAGTGGAACAATTTATCAGGAAGAACTTGGAGGCAAGACTAACCTGGCCACTTGTACCAAGAAAATGATGATCATAAGGATCTGTTGTGATATCAAAGCGTTTAAAACTATATGTTTGGTCATCATGTTGATCTGAGGAATTTCCTATTTCTGACATCAAGTTAGCTTCAATGACGTCTGTCACTTCC